TTTATAGCGACAAATAGGATCAGCGAAGCTGCCAAGATTAAATCATTAATGCAAAGGACGTGGGTTCGAACGTAGGAACACTCTTCTAGTGCCCACTGTGATGGGCGTCTACTTCTAAAATCATCACGAGGAGACGTGTTCTTTGTGACGATTATGCTCGCAGTGAATTAACAAAAAAGACGTTTCTGAAAGCAAAAAAGATGATCTGAACTGGCGGTCACTCAAGAGACGTTTTACCCAAATGAGTGTCCCACTCTTTTTATTCTCTGTACAGTAAACCTGTTTGTTTGTTAACACTAAACGTGAAGGACACAAAAGGAAGCGGTCGTGGGTTATTTTAAAGCGAAGTCTCATCATTTACCTGAAATACCGAAGAAAACTAAGAAAGTCCTAAGTCATTACAACCGGAGAAAAATGTCCAGGTTACAGAGCGAGAGAATGCGAACCATGGATCGCCATACACCACAGTCGTTCAAGTAGCGAAGAAATCCCTCGACATTTATAGAGCTAGTAGGTTCATTATCTTATTCACAAAAGCCCCCTCAACCCCTATCCAGAGCCAGACGAATCCTCTCCACACCCTCAGGAGCCATGTAGGCGCTTGGGGGGAGAGCTTGTATAGCCCCTGCTCATTCTCGATATCGTCACTAGATGGCCGGCAGTGCTTTGCCCCCCGGGAAAGGACCCCGGTACCCATTGGATAGGAGGCTGCCTGGGAGGGCCCCAGAGGCTAGAGGATCGAACCCCGGTCTCCCTCACTGAGCCAAGACGTTTAATAATTTATGGCAGCGTCGGGGAAAAAACCCTTGTGCCGGTTTTGCCCTCGGCCGCATCTAGAGTACCTACTTTTACGTGCTCTGAGCGTTACAAAAGGTTCTCATCATGAACCGCGGACAATGATACCCTTAACAACACCTCGCCCCTCCAGTCGACCAATAACAGCCCGCTCAGGTTTCGCTGTAACCAATCCGAGAGCCGAAATCCTCCCCTCGACCTGGGCCTACCATTGGCGAAACAGCGAGACTCCTCCTCAGAGGACGACTCACCATTGGCTACTTGTGCGAGTCGAGAGCTCTCGAAATGGATGACGGGTTCTCGAAACGCCGCGGCGTCCGGGGACCCTTGTGATCGGGTCAGCTCTGCCGTCAAGCAAGCGTCAAACTGGCAGAACAGAAGGCCCGTGCGGGGGGCCCACCTGGGGCCCGCCTGCAACCCCCCCAGCCGGGGCCCTTGTTGGCTTGGTACCCCTGGTGTCCTGCGCTCCTGCCAGCTGCCTGGTGTAACCCGGCTGCCATCCGGACGGCTCTCCCAGGGTCAGTAGTAGTGAAGGTGGTAACTATAGTAACCACCAGCCTCATTTTTCATTTAATTTTACTCTAATTTCGCTACACAAGTTTTAACGGAGATGCGGTGTGTTTTTGTGGATGTGCGAGTCGGTGTTTTGACTAAGTTATTCGGCTTCTTTAGGTGAGTAATGGATACGAAGGACTGAATGTTCTAGTGTTTACGTGAAGTGTGTTATCTATCTACAGGGTAGAAACGATGCTTATTAAGATTTGTGAAGACGTGCTTCGCCTTTAAATAACAGATACTGTACGTCATACGTTCTTATTACACCCGAGGAAGTTCGTGCATATTTGAAGACGTCTCTCTGGCCGGTGTTTTGCAAACACTGAACGTAGCTCCACGAACGCCAAAATTTAGAACAGCGAGTTTGAATGTGCACGATTTGTAATTTAAATTAACAGGGCTAACATATACATTCAAAAAGTCAGAATTAGTGTATCAGACCTATTTAAGGCCTTAAGTTTCTCCAAAGTTCCGAGTTTAATTTAACGGCGTTAACAGAATGCGTGTGGCCATTGCGAAATGTCGCTATAAAACGAGAGTTAAGATTCGGTCAAAATTCGGTTTAAGACAATAAACTTAAGCGAATCTTGTGGAGAGGGGGAGAGGTCCTCTGAAAATTCTGGAACGACATGAAAGGAAACAGCGCTCCTGCGACAAGATTTAATTTCGTGTGAAGTGAACTTTCATTTCGTCAATTTTTACCCACGAATTAGATTTGTCAGTTTTTGTAACCCAACTCGGAAGTAAAATTAATCTTTCTTAATTTACGTCTCTTTTAAATCGGTACCACAGTTAGGCCGTCAAATGTAGCTAAGGAAAATCATTAGGTTTCTGATGGTTCCGGTACAAATGTGGTACGGAGGATAAGTGTTTCAGCCTACTGCATACTAACTACAAATTCCGCAGTTTTCAGCTCTGCTTGCAACCTATTACTGACACCTAATTTACCTACAAATGCATCTTAATAGTCGATTTGTTCTAAGGTTTAAATTTAAATCGAGTTTCACTTTACAACTTATTTTATTGTATCTCTTGAAAATATTTTCTAGTGGCGAATGCCCCATCTGTCTAGACGTGCACATCCCCACCGATAACCGATTGAGGAACGCAAATAAAATGTTTTATCCTACGAGCCAATTTAGCCGAATAATGATAATAATAATAATACCTTATAATTTATAGACGATTTTTCGAAGGATTCAATAATATTGAATTTTCGTTCGACTTGACTTCTACAGCATGAGGAGGCACTGACCTTATTTTCTTCTAAGTAAAGTAAACTTAAGTAAAGTAGGCTAGGCAGTTTCAAATCACAGCAGAAAGAAAAGGTAACGATGCAGTACGAGAAACAAAGAATCCTTACAGAAATGTGGTGGGTAATCACTCGAGACGCAGACGTTGCAGAAACGTGTTAGGAGGGCGATATTAAAATAGATCTTAGGGAAATAAGATAGGTCTTAGTTCACTTTGGCGTTAGGTCTCTTCATGACTTCCGTATCAGTAAACAGACTATGGGGATTTCTCCGGAAAAGTTCGAAATCCAATATTTGTTTCTTAATTTACTTTTACGATGTTGACAACATTGGTGGACGGGCAGCCGTGATTTTTCGAAGGACCATATTCTCAACACGCGGAAAGATCTTCTTTTGTTTTGTAACACTGTCTCACCCTGCAATACCACAAACAGCCAACACCAAAGTACGCCTTTTGTGAACGTGGTCGGTATTTGGCAGGAACTGTCGCTGTGGGCAATTGTTCGCTTCTAGAACGCCGAATCAAGTAAGACTTAGGACTCTCGTCTTACTCATGAATACACAGAAAGACGTAAGCGATTAGCAACGACACAAATTAAACCCGATATTTAAAGATTACTCAAGCAGAAACAGCGAGAAATGACTCATTAACGATTCAGAATTATTGACTAAGCTTTGCACGTAAACCATTCTGCAATAGAAGGCGTAATTTAGTAACTTTTTAATACTTTGTCACTGCGTCACGTAGAAAATTCCTACATTTCTTTGTTCTTCGTCTGCATTCCTCGCTGTAACACCTCGTTAATACGCGCAGTTTAAGCTGAATTACCGCCAGGTACACAGAATTTCAGTTTACAACAGATTAATATAGTTTCGTACAAAGAAGAGAGGACTTAAGCCAATTTCCTTCCTATCTAAAGTTAAGTGAAGTCGTGTTCTACGCCACTAATTAATAAACTCTTTTGTGTCAATTTTTATAGGCCTGAATCTAATTCTATTGACGGGACACTTTGTGACATAGTTCATTCATGGGTTTTATGCAATAAAAATTGTAGTTCCATAAGAAATAGTCTTCTACAAGGTGTCAAAACCTAAATGTATATTATTCGCAGAGGTTAACACAGCCCTTTACCTAACCATCAAGACATATAGCCTAATTAATTTTTTTTAAATTAATTTAAATTAAAAGTAAACTAAATTTCGTCATTAAGGTCCATGACGACCGACAGATCGTAGTAACGAGTCATTTTTATAAACGACCTACAAGAAGAATTCAACTAGACGAGACAATTGCGTTTATAAGAAGATGTTGAGGTGATAATGTATCACCATGATGATGGAAGCAGTAAGGTCCTCTTTGACAATCGGTCAGTATATACACGGCGCTACGTCCCATAAGATGGCCAATGTAATATCTGTCACCGTGAGGACCTCAAATTCCACTTCTCACAGCCATATTTAATGATCGAATTTTCTTATAGACATTAATCGGATTTTGGCCTATATCTTCATAATGAGACTCTGTGAACCGCTGATATAGACGACGTATGACCTGAAGAAGGAATGGCTATCGACCCGAACAAGAAATGTGTGTGTGTGTGTGTGTGTGCACACGCAGTGATATCGTGTTCATATGTGGGCTCCACCCTACCCGAAATGGAACGAGACGGAAATTAGACGCCCTGCGTCCAACGCTTGCCTGTTGAATGATTACTTACAGAGCTGAGAAATAAAACAAAAGGGAATCACAGTCCGAAGAGTCTAAGTTGCCTTCCGCAAGTAACAAGTTCGAAATGGCACGTAATCTGACGAGATTCTTCGTTCAGTTAGTCATGCGGGTTACATAACTTCACGGCGGAGATTAATTACTGATCCAGTGATAGTCATTACATCAGGTATTCAAAAAATTCCCATCCTTTTACAAAACCCAAAGGTTCGTCACCGTGCTCACAACAGCCCGCCACGTGTGCCTATCCTCAACCAAATGAATCCGGTCCAAATTTTGACTAAACCGTTAAGAACGAGGTTAATCCTCTGGGATGTAGGGCCGTGTAGTCTGGTAGACGTTTATCGACGTTTCAGACCCCCCCCTCCCGAAACAGTCATCTTCAAACTCGCCGCCCTGAGAAGCTAAAATATCAGCCCCAATTTTCGCCTATAATTCGTTTTGAATTAGTCGCGCCTGAAATTTCTAAATATCCGAGGAAGTTGTCGCCCCTGCTTTCTGGAATGCGGGCAAGCAGGTAGATTATTGGCTTCCATGACTTTCGCAGACGGACAATTCACGAACAGCAAATTTTAAACACTTGTCACCGAAAACGTGACTCGACAATGGCGAACCCGGATTCAACTGAAGTACTTCAGGAGGCCGGATCCTCACAACAACAGTGGCATAACAGCCACTGCTCCTAAATCCTCACGAAATAAGTCAAGATTATTTCGTTTTAAGATGCGGAGTTATTGAGAATTATAAGAAAATTTTGAATTAAATTTAAAATGTATAATATTTGATAAACTATGTAATTGCAAAGCTCTTCATAGATCAACAAATAGGGATAAATTAAAACAGCAGACCTTGATTCCACCATCTTGTCATTTCCTCCATGATTTTAAGTTCCGATAATTGGAGTTCAAAAGACGGCCGTCTTCGGGGTTGCTTCGCCTTGTAGTCTCGTAGAAGTTTACCAACGTTTCAGAGGTAATTGTTGCCTCCATCATCGGAAATTCACCTGAAATCTCAGAATAATGTTTATAATTTCGTGACGCTAATGCGACAACGGTCAGCTTATTGTGGACCAAGTAACGTCTAGCACTAATAGTTCGAATATCAAACGAATGAGGAGACAGATGTGCCTTGTGCCACTCTTGGTCTCCTGGCAGCTCGTATCGTCATTACAAGCTGCTCTCTCGAGTGGGATACAAATTCCCTCATTGTTCCCTTTGGTCTTGCCGCCATGTTACAGGCTCCTGGACAACCTGAAGATGCCTGCTCGATCGTCGGGTTTCCACATCTGCGACATCTTGGACCTCAACGACGCAGCAGCGGAGGGCAAACCGAATTCGGGCGGCGACGGAGTGTCCGAGGCGCCTCACCAACTCCATCACGGTGGTAAGAATTCCCGTTACAAGCGCCAGAGGTGGACAGCCGACAAGGGGTTGTCCTCAACAACTTGCTAGCAACGCCAAAACTTGTGCAGATCTTGTTCTCTTGGCGATGTCTCACGTTCTCACGGAGACGAGTGTAAAGATGGCTGTCTTCTGGGACTGTGATGATCGTTCTGATGATGGAGGCGGTAAGAACCTCTGAAACGTCGGTCGATTTCTACCAGACTCTGCGACGCAACGTCCCAGAAGACATTCGTTTTAACAAACAGTTGCCATGAAATGCGTTAGTCAAGTCATAAGGCCTAATCGTGAGGAATCGATTGGAAGGAAACGAGCTTTTGATTTAACAATCAGCAAGTCTACACGTTCTATGTGTGAGTTTCGTCTGATTCTAAGTTTAAACAGCGATTATTTCCTTAAACAGCGTTAACCAGTTGATCTATGTAATGGTGAAGAGTTGTGTTTTCTTTGCGGTAAGGACTGGATTCTTAAATGATATTCAGACGAATATGTCACTGATTCGTCATATGGCGTTAAGAACGCCTTCAAAATGTCTGTGTAGTCCAAATAGTGCGCTTTTCAAAATGTTTGCCACCGAAACGTCTTGACGACGTTTGGCCTGTTTTCTCTTGGCTACAGGCGAATAATTGATCAGTTACCCCCTCCACCCCCCAGGTGTGCGTTGTTTAACCCAGTTTTCTTATCGAAATATAGTCTGCATTTAACAGCAAACATGCGACCATATCTGTGTCGTTGCCTATGTTAAGTGGTGAACTAAGTGCTCTTGAAGGCCGCGGTGTAAAAAGGGCCTAAGGACACTTCACTAGAGCCATTATGCGATTTTAGTAAGCGAAGTGGACACGAAATAGGGAGATAAGTACAAAACGTTTCGTACGATACTCACAATAAACAATGATTATTTATTGAAAGAGCATTAACAAACTGGTCGTTGTCATGGAGACGCGTTGTGCTTTCTTTGAGGTACGGACTGGATTATTAAATAGGTACTGTTACATTAAAATATCTGCACAGCTGAATATGCAAGTGTAATATTGCTGAGTAACTAAATAGCTTCAGGCGGCAGAGAAAAGTCTCCTCATCAAGCAGTTTCTTCCAGCTTCCTGTCCCATCATCCCTCTTAGGACGAGACATTTCCCAAAAGCACCCTGTTCTCTGACACCTTCATTTTCTGCGGGTGAAACACCGGTAAAATTATTTTTGAAACGCATATCCCTTGGCTTATTTAAACTTACATTCTTGAAACAGAAAACAGGAAGATATGATAATCTGAACGAAATCTCAGCAAACATTTCCAAAATCCAGTCCCCACTTTACTTCCGCGTGAACGTAATTTTGACTCGTTAACTTCAAATAAGCGTCGTTATACAAGCAAAACAGAACATCGCAGCGCACTTAGCCTGAGAGTCACTGCGTTCCCCCACAATTCTTTAGACGGTTTTTCCCCGCTCTCTAACTTGGGTTCGCCACTTGTCGATATGGCTTGCCACCGTAATGGACTCACTTTAATATCGACCACACTGAAATATCGTGGTCATTCTTTGTTCCGTGGTCAGTTTGTGGTGTGAGGTACTTCAATCGATGGCAAATGCCCGGATTCCACAATACAGTACAACTAGGTTTAGGGCTTAACTTGCCATTTGCAAGCGGCCCGTATAAACGCACTAGAGAGAGGCAGTCCGGTTCGCCGTTCCTTGTTCCTGGATGTTCCCTGTGTCATTCCCAGTTGCATGGCATTTATTGGTTTCTTCTTAAACTTCTGAAGCCCGAAGCTCATCAAAATATTATTTAAGAATCCAGCCCGTACCGCGAAGAAAACACAACTCTTCACCATTACGAAACATCAACTGGTTAACGCTGTTTAAGGAAATAATCGCTGTTTAAACTTAAGATAATACAAAACACAGAAATACGCTGTGAGGGCAAATTAAGAATTGCTGAATATTAAAAGAGGTGGTATATATAGTTACCACTAGGTTTGAAATGGTTAAGCTTTAAACGGGAGACAGAACCAGGTGTTTGGAATAAATCGAATGATGAGAATCTTTCATAAATTTTTTACTCACCACCGAGCACACAAATACGTAGACCTACTAAAGTGTGGCTGAGAAACTGCTTCTCTCACCCTCAGGGTCGATGCCGTTAATGTCCAGCCCGCCCGATCTGACCACCATAGCTGCCAGCTACGCGGCCGCTATGGGGCACCACACTGTACTGTTCTCGGGGGCCCCTGGAGGGGTACCTGGGCTGGAACCACATTGCCCCCTTCTGCCCCACACGAGACACCAATGGACCACATCTGTCACCACGAGAAACGACCACGGTAAGCTGCCATCTTGTTCCGTTCTCATGTTCGTCTGTTTACGCCTACATGAACAATGTCCTTCTGCTTTTATCAAAGGATTTCAATTAAATTTAATTGTGATCGACACTAAATTTCGGTTCCCTACGTTACAAGTAGGTGAAGTTGCTAATTTGTATTTGAGCCTTACGTTCTCTACAATTGAGAACAATAAACATGCTTGCGGCTCTCTCCCAATGACCCTCGGATTTCATTTGAAACACTTCTCGACAGTACACGCCTACGTGTTTAAAGAAACTCGAGCATTACAATGTCTCCTCGTTTACGATGTGGTTTCTTGGCAACAATCGAAAATCTTCAAGCAACAAATTAACATCTGTACCACTCAGTTACGGCAACAATCGAAAAGGAAGCCTCCTTCTATACTTGTAACAATCGAACGTCATTATACATTCAACAATGTCTACAAGAAACTTTTTCTAAAGAAGGCTGTGGGGACACTTTAGTTAATTAATTAAATCTGTAGATAAAATGTGGTGAGATTCTCAAGATGGCCGGTGAAGACAGATCACAGCACAAGCAGTTTTTATTTTAGAGGATAGAAGTTGTGTGGTAATATCAAGTTCCAGTCAGTCACCTCACATAATAAGTTTCTGGTTATTGTTAAACTTTGAATGGTAAAGAATACCAGTGTTGGCAACCGACCGGGTTTATATCAACTGCGCAACAACAATGTTACCAACGTGACGGTCGTATACATTTCTGCACCGACAGTTTTATCGTTGGTTTCTGAGAAATATCAAAGGCGAGACTTTGCTATCTTTGTAAAGGGAAAAGAATTGCTGTAAATCTTTTCAATCCAAAATGTGTACGAAGTGAGTTCTCAGTTCTCCATAATTATTAGGTTGTGAAAATACATAAATCGGCCTATTACCTCACTCCCGCTCATGCAGTAGGCCTAACTTATTAACATCTGCGGCTAGGAACGTCAAGAAAGCCTAGGCCTATAGGTTTTTAGTGCTAATATTTTATTATTTAGTGTTCTGTCTGACGACAGGTCCATATGAACAGGATCCTTCCATCCTTTTCTCGGACTGGGACCTGTTCATATACGTTCTTGGCAGATGATCCAGAAGTGGTTTGCCATTGCCTTCTTCTGTGTGTGAATGGAGTAATTGTTAGGATGCCACGGAGGAAAACTCCGTGTTGCCTAGACCACGGCCTTGCCCAACACAAGTTATAAATTCGGTCACCGCCGGGAATCGAACCCAAGACCCCAGGATTACAAGGCCACCGTGGCTCCTAGTGGTAATATAGGGCCGAATATTTCTGTGGAACGTGACTGCAATGCGAATTTGTGTGATTAAGGGCAGTCGCTGATTCCTTTTGGATGCGCGAAAATGCGTTGTTTCTCCAAAGTGACGGAATAATTGTTAAGGCAAGATGGCGTCTTGCAACAAGAGGCACTGAACTCGGCCAGGTTCATGCACGAAACACATCAAGAGGCAAACGGACTGGATACCATCCTCCCCCCCCTCCTGGGGAGGATCGGGGCAATTATCCTCGTGTCGTGACGTCATCAGTGTATCAGTCTCTTCCAAATTAAGTCACGTCAGGTACGAACAGTCCAGCGAATGAAATTCTGTCCCGCTGAGCCTCACGTGTCCTGGCGCTGATATTACACGAGGTGGGTCGGAGGTTATCAACCGGTGGACCCCTGATTCAACAATCAGCAACTCTACGGTTTGTATTTATGTGTTTCGAACGAATCTCAGACAAATCAGCGATTATTTCCATAAACAGCGTTAACCAGTTAATCTTTGCAATGGTGAAGTGCAGTGTTTTCTTTGCGGTACGGACTTGCTTTTTAAATTTGATAAGCAGACGAGTTTCGCCTTCAGACGGTCAAACAAAGCAACACAAATATACAACACTCTAGTCATGCATATTTATTTATTTTTATAGCTTATTTAACGACGCTGTTAGTAGCCACAGAAGACGTTACTCCAAATATTAGTACACTGTAATCGTGTATTCGAATCCCACTTCGGGCGTGGATGTCTTCTACACTCCACATGTAGGTTTTTGGATGGGCCGATCACCCACTTGAAGTATCCCTCTGACAGGAAAAAGAGTTTCTTGTAGGTGGTTACCAAAGTTATGTGTTGCCTCCATCTTCAGGGAGAGTTTGACACGCTAAATGACAGTAATGTCGAAACCTCTAACTACAACGGTGGAAGAAAACAGCTTCAGAAAGGAAGGAGAGTGAAGAAATGAGGAGAAAGAAAGATACGAAGTACAGAAAATTGAAAGAGAATGGGAAAGAAACGGACGACGAAGGCGAAGAAACGACGAAAAAACAACAGAATAAAGAAGAGAAACCACCACCTCCTTCCCAGTCCCTTCCCAGTCATCATCATTCACGACAATCTTCCCTCTCATGCAACCACAACGCGCGCAGTCGAAACAGCGTGTTTGAACACCCGAAGAATCGATGGACCGTGTGTGTTCGCAGAGTAACTTTGGCTGCTGCTAAGTTAAACTAATGACACGGCTCGTATCACTTTCCACCCCCCCCCGCCCCTCGGTGGGGTGCAAATCAGGCATTAAACATCGTTTCTCTGTCAATAACAATAAGGCTTCCACCAACCCTCTCCCTAACGAAGGGACGAGGCAACAGCTGTTTGCTAACAGCGCGCTACCAGTTCGCGTGCCCCAGAGTCCCTGACTTGTTCCCAAATCCCATGTTGTGCCAGTCCGCCATCTTTTTCGAGAGTGAAAACACGCTCTGGAGTGGATAGAAGTGGATGGAAGTCCCAGGTTCGAATTTCGGCACGGATAATGGACACACTGAACGGTCGTTTCGTGGTTTTTCCCAGTCCCTCAAAGTAAATGGCCAGATAATGCCTTAAAATAAGCATCTTACTCATCTTTCGGAGATAACATGTTACAAGGATCGTAATCTATGCAACTGATAAAGAATGTGTATTTAAAGCAATAACGAGAACGGAATAAAAAAAATCAGACATCATATTGAGAAGCTGATAGTAGCTTAGTTGGTGAACAACTTACCCTATTTTTATACAACCCTCAAATTTATTCCTGATTTTACAAAACGTCCTATTTGTGGAATATACATTTGTAAAGTCTTCGATGAAATTAATTTAAGACAGGCCGTTTTAAAAGAAGCTCGAATGGATTATTAAAACGCTACTTTGTTCAGAACATTAGCCAGAAACAGAAAATATAAATCTCTTTACGTTTACAATGTTTATTTCAAGAAGTTTTTCATTTTAGATTTTAGACCAACCTGCAGATCTCGTAATGAAACAAAGAGAAAGTTACTTTAAAAACCAAGTCACTTACATCACCAATGTCAAGAAGACGTGGAATTTTTGTAAAACTGGTAAGACATTTGGAAAATACGTGTACCTCAAATAGGAGTACAGCAAATGTAGGGCTGATGGTTATACATCTCCCGGAATTAGGTTGGAGCATTTCCTCCGCACTACGTCAACGACGTAGAAATTTTCCAGCAGAGACAGCGCGGCGTCTCTTCCGTGAGAAAATGGTGGAAAAGCGTCCTACCCCTTACGCCCCGACTAAAGTGTGAGAATAGAGAAAATTGCATGGGGCCTGATTTTCGCATGATGGCGGCTGCCCGAATCAACATCTGTCCGAGCAGCCGTCGGCGCAACAGTGACATACGTGACGGGCCCCAGCCGTCGCACGTTATAAGGCAAATTGCAGATCAACTGGTTAACGCTGTTTAAGCTCTGATTTTCCTCGAGTCCTGTCCAGTGGTTAAGAATTCAGTCCGTACCGCGAAGAAAACACAACTCTTCACCATTACCCAGATCAGCTGGTTAACGCTGTTTAAGCTCTGATTTACTTCGAGTCCTGTACACAGCCGAAGCTCGTCTTCTTTATATTTAAGAATTCAGTCCGTACCGCGAAGAAAACACAACTCTTCACCATTACCCAGATCAGCTGGTTAACGCTGTTTAAGCTCTGATTTTCCTCGAGTCCTGTACACAGCCGAAGCTCGTCTTCTTTATATTTAAGAATTCAGTCCGTACCGCGAAGAAAACAGCACACTTCACCATTACGAAATATCAGCTGGTTAACGCTGTTTAAGGAAATGATCGCTGTTTGCACTGAGATACAAACGAAATACATAAATACAAATATAATCTATCGTAATTCTTAAAGCAGGTGGTACATATAGTTACCACTGGGCTTGGAAAGGTTAAAATATTACACCATTTATTTCACCACTGACGTCATTTTGTTTTCGATGATGATGCTGTAGCTGCCACAGAAGTGGACGTAGCCCACTCTTCCTGTGAGCCGGTCGCTGCTCACGAGGCAGCAGCTGTCTGCAGTTAATAGAACACAAATTTGAAGCGTTCACATGCATCAACAAACAATGGAGGACAACCAATCACGGAGCTGCGTACGGGGGGAGGGGTCTAACCTTTGTTGCATTGCTACTTTTTGAGCCCCTCTGCAAGGCGTGATCTCAGTCTGTATTATAAAGTTTCAAAAGTCGTCTTCTGATTCAACCCCCCCCCCCCCCCCAAACAATTCTATAACATTGTGCGAAGCATTGCTACCTGTAACCACGACAACGGTGCAGTTCTGCAATAGGAAATATTTCAAAATATATCAGACCGTCTTGGTTTGTCCCAAACCATTCAGGAACCACAAAACGAACTCCATCATGAAAAAAAAAGGTTCATTTTAAAGGAATTTGTGTGAGAGATGGCGAAGCTACGCGACTTTTATCTGAGGTACAAATGGGGCAAACAACGAGTAGCTGGCTGTGTAGTGATGTTTTTAGGTTAGGTTAGATTCGGGATAATAGATTTGTATCTGCAGTAAACGAGCATCAAGCTTACTTTGCGGGTTCAAAGCCACAAAGACCGCGTCTTGAAATTGTACGCCAGAACCTAAATAAGTCCACAGAACAGATTCATTTTTGAGATTCTGATATTCGCTTAAAAATTCACCGCTCTCTCGGTTTACTGCCATAGCCGTAAACTATCCTGAGACAGACCGACCCAGGGCACACACTTCTACGTCACGTTCGTAACTGCACGACGTCAGAGCGTTCCCCGAAATTAATTAGCCTCAATTTGTTCCTGAATCCACTTTTCATCTATCGTCGTTTTAACCAGATACATTAACTCTGCTGCAGTTTCGAAGGACCATTTTCCTATGTGTACTGCAAATCGGAGTGCGTCGTTGTAGTTCCTCTACATTACTCTGGGCATTTGAAGCCGGAACATGCGAAAAACTGCTTTATCCCGACAGTTCTGCGCTGTATGCCACTGAACGTAACCTAACACCAAAACCACTCATGTTGGTATCACTGTTAATCTTGCAGGAGCACACCAGCAGCAGGTCAGCCCTGACAGCACTTCTCCCAGCTCCCTGGTGCCTCCAGACCCCTCTCGATGTGGCCCCGAACAGGAGCCCGACCTCCACTCAAGTTCCGTGTCTCTGGACAGCTTTCCTCCTCCCCCAACTAGTCCCGCCAATGGTCCGGGACCGGATTCTTCAAGCGCAGTTCCTTCAGCCCTCATGAGGACGCCCCTCATGGGGCAGGATGGCGAAGACCACCTGATGGACACTGAGGAGGACGACCAAGAGTCGGAGGGACAGCACGAGGCGGGGACCCAGGGGAGCGGACAGCCCGGAGGCTCCAAGAAACGCAAAAGAAGGGTTTTGTTCTCGAAGGCACAGACTTACGAACTGGAGAGGAGGTTTCGGCAACAGCGATACTTGTCGGCCCCGGAGCGCGAACACCTCGCTAGCATCATCCGCCTCACGCCCACACAGGTAGGCAACACCTCGCACAGCACCACGTCTGTAAAACGCAGGCGGAAAAAGGCTTTCGCGTGGAATCTCCCCTTTTCAGCTGGCACCGACGTCAAAAATAAATTTTAAAAAATGGGAATGTCTACTGTCTATTAACAAAGCATCGCGGGGGCGTTTGTAAGCAAATAGCCTTTGAGTTGAATTTCTGCTTAAGAAACTCCAGGCTCATATTTCACATATTAAATACATTAAAATCTTATTTTAAAAAATTACATTTTACCGCGTAATACGTGTCACATTTGATTCCGTACTGAAATAAAGAAATTTTTATCGATATAAGGCTTTTTTTAAATTGACGAGTACCGGATTAATTCAAGTCCTTTAGTCGGCCATCTTCCGGAATTGGGCAGTGGCATACAGAATAAGTCCATGCGTGTTTGTTTTTAAATGATTTTATGTGGGATTTTAATTTATTTCTTAATCATGAGAAGTTTCATACCTGAAAACTTTGTACCCTGCCTAAATTTGAGAATGTAGCAAACGCACGAGGTCGATGGTTGTCCAATGATTTGAGTGACAATTGAGAGAACCTGTGTCTTGTGTTCCCACAGGTGAAGATCTGGTTCCAGAACCATCGGTACAAGACAAAGCGGGCGCAACAAGAGAAGGGGCTCCATGACCCTCATGGGGGTCACGTGGGCCCAGGAGTCACGACTCTACCATCACCTCGCAGGGTGGCTGTTCCTGTCCTCGTAAGGGATGGTAAGCCGTGTACCGGCGGCGCCAAGGGTCAGCAACAGCCCTCGACGGAGCAGCATATACCCCACCCCCATCTGGTAATGCCTTCGTACTCGCACCCCCTCATACACCCCCATCATCACCAGCCTCACCCCCGCGCTTGGTGGTAGTGACTAAACGTTATTCGTGGTGAGTTCCATAAAAACTGGCGACCGAAGGACATATTCGTCCTTTGTTCATGAACTGGTGAGTGTTAATGACGCCTGATAGCATGTCCTTGGTTAAATCACTACAGACTGCTAAGAAAACTGATGACAAGATTATGGACAACAGATTTGAGTATTTGATGAGGGAAGATTTATGTGAACGGAGCGTCATTTTGAAGACCATTTCATTTCTTCGTCAACTTCAAATATTTTATTGCATTTGCGAGTGTCCTTAAGTCGAGAACAATATAATGTCGACTCGAGATGTTTTCATTTCTTTTTACAAAGGCATGAACAGACTCGTAACAAGTGTGGAATCAGATACTGGATTCTGATAAACTGTGGGACAGATGGCGTGTGCTTAGTTCAGTGTTAAGTGCAAATCAGTGGTTTCACGAAGGGGTCGCAAGGATACCGAAGTTAAATTCCTACAAAGCATAATAATAATGTCACAATATGCTGATCGTTGAGTATTCTGTGTCAACGCGGTAGAAGTCATCGACGTTTCAGAGGAACCTTGTTCAGGGCCGAGGTGAAAGCAATGGAATGTAAGAAACATTATGGGCATTCACTGATAATTACAACAGAATGAACATAACACTGGTAGATGACGATATCTAATGGCCATAAAAAGATATTGCTAATACTGACATGTGAATATAAACCACAGTGAAAACTTCACGTCTCAGGACACAAAAATATTCTGTGAAGCACCCGACATGACCATCCAGATCTCAAAATATTTGAAAAATTTACAATATCAAAACCACAACTTTCCTCGTTAAAATGTAAATAAGACTTGTCAGTTTTCTGTTGCACGTGCCACAAAACGTCTGCGGGTTCTTACAGGTTATGTGACTAATTACCGAAGTAAAACAGTTTCGCGACAAAAAGTAGTCCGTAAATATCGCTTTTAGCCTGTTGCAGTAACCACCTGTGGAACTGAAGTCGTGAAGTTTATATAAAAATTTATAATGACGTTCACTATGCTTGTCGCTCAGAAAATTACAGGCAAATATTATACCGATACCGTACATTGAGGATGTTTGACGGCTGTGCCGGCAGCACGGTCTTTGAGCTATGCGCGATCATTGCGTTGGTTGCCGCGTTTACTGTTCTCAGCGGCACAGAGACCAAATAATTTCAATGTAGTTATTTGTATTTAATAGTTTTAAAACCTGACACGTGGCTTGCACTTTGCTTTAACACACATGACCAGATTGCTTCTACAAACACAGATATCATTATCTTCGCTGTTTTATCTGCTGATAGCAGAAAAAACCACCGAGTTCTTGTGGCGATTGACATCAGAGGTTCTATTCAAGAACACAATTTACTTAGATAAAAGAAAACAGAATATGTTCGGGCTTAACAAATAAACACAAAGGCCAATTTTTAACATTGAAAGGGGTGTACAAGATACGCGGTTAGCAGATAATGTGTAAATACATGGTAAAGTGGATACCATGCATGTTTCCCATTCTGGAAGTCCTGGGTTCTACTCTCGGTACGGAGACTGGTACATTCAAAATTAATTAATTAATTATCTCCGCCTCTCCAACCAAGTGTCGGGCTGCAATCTTAAAATAGGCCACGACTTTGATAATTATGATAGCCGTTTACATTTCACCATTCTGACAATATCAGCTGATATGCAGGCGATAAATTTCAGATTTTCTCGGTATGGCCTGACTAAGGAATACCACGTAAAATCAGTTCCTGCCGGGTTCCGAAGTGGGGATCATCTTCTCAAAATCCTGCCCAGCGTATGTACATTTATAAAACGGCAAGGGCAGAGTTTTGGCG